TCAATCTTGTCATTGAGCAGATGGTTTTCATTTAAAGTTCGTCTTCAGAATACCAACTACGAATCATTGCATTTTACCACGCCGAACCATCTATTTCTATGCATAATACCTATTAACACACCTAACTATTATCGATAACATAACTCGAAACTCTTTCTTTCAGAAGAGACATTTACTAAAGCTTAGTAAATGTTATAATAATTGCATTAGTAATATTACTATTATAGACTGCAATTCTCTATCTCGAGTTCACTCTAGTGAAGTTTTTCCAGAGCTAAGCTAAGATTAGTAAATTTTTTTTTCTCGTTATCATTGCTACATTATTAACACAAACTCATCATAGATTCTAGTTTTTATCTCGAATAACCTTTGATCAAGTTTTCTAAAAAAAAATTTAATAGTAACAGTAAAAAAAAAGTACAAACTGACTTCGAATTTTCTCACCCTCGATTACCTTTGGTCAACTTATGTGGAAAAATTAGTTCTTTTTCTTCTTGCGTCTTTGTTCGCCATTTTTCTCTCGAGTTGTTCTCCGACCAATCATTGAAGTGTGAACTCACAAACAAGCAAGCAGACAATTTATTTTTGCTGGACTCTACGAGAAAGAAAATATAATCATCTATATATCATGAAGGTTTAACGAAAAATAAACTTCTAGATTGATAGAATATGGTAAGAAGAAAGATACTGAAAAGTGAGAGAACCTTACCCATTGTCAATATAATAAAATGTTTGACCACCTTCGCTAGAAGTATTTTCTTATCAATCTAATGTGAAAGTGTATTGTTTATTCTAGGTAATTTTCAACGACATGATTCACGACGTTCGATTCGCTCTGAAACATCTTCAGTAATTAGCAATAATTCAACACAACAAGTAATGGTACGAACTTTAAAGAATATCTGTCGAAAACCATTTTTCTTACGAATACTTGCTCTTAATTCTCCTGAATGGTTTTCAATATTATTGGGAAGTATAACATCATTGATTTATGGCGCTGTTACTCCAGCATATGCTCTGATCTTGGCCCTTGTATTTGGGTTATTTTCTCAAGATGCCGAAACAGCAGAACGTAATGCACGAAATTATTCAATTATTGTATTTTTTGTTGGTTTGGCTGGTGGTCTTTGTCAATTTATTTCATCATATGCATTTACACGATCAGGAGAAGCATTAACTGTTCGAATGCGTGTCATGTCATTTGCTACCCTGTTACGTCAAGAAATGTCTTGGTATGATGAAGAAGAAAATCAACAAAATATTCTTGTTACACGCCTTTCAAAAGATGCAGCTGCATTAAAAGGAATGACTGGTGTAACTATTGGAGCCTTTCTAAATGCTGTTGGTACTTTAGTTGCCGGTTTAGCCATAAGTTTTGTTGCTGGATGGAAATTAACACTTGTTCTTCTTTGCTTTACTCCATTGATTGTTATAACTGGTTATATGCTTGGTCAAAAATTATCAAAAGCTGGCCAAAAGAAAGCCTTTTCTACTCACGCTGAACTTGGTAGTATGGTAAGGAAAACAGAACATAATCATAATAATATAAATCAAAACATATTTTGCTTTTTCATAGTATGCTACTGAATCACTTAAGAACATTCGTACTGTTACTTCACTTGGACTTCAAGATCATTTCATTAGACTATATAAACAAGCTTATAATAAAGAATTTCGGTAAGTTGATTTATGATTGAACTTATCATGCTAGACAAAAGAATTATCTTTAAGTAAATTTGTCATTCTAACTACTCGAATTTGATCCAATTATCTAAATGTTAGTTTTTGAATAGAATGAATTATGAAGAGAAATTTTGTTTTAATGACATTTAGATTAAATCAAAACGAACAATAGGCACTCAATAAATTCACCGTTTTTTTATCAGAGATTCAATTGAATTTTGATAAAAAAAAGTTTAAACAATATAAATATAATTTCACATAGATTAACACATTTATTGATACATTTGACTAGTTTTACTAGAAGATATTGAAGTTATCTGACTATAAAAGCTAGAGTCTCAAATTTATTATTATATCAGTCCTTTGATTGCAATAAAGCAATGTCATAAAATTCGTTTTACAAGATAAAATTATTCAATCTATTTCTATAATTACTCAAAATGGAAAATTTATTGCGTTTTACAGATTAGCTAATAAAGATTTTACAGAAAGTTAATATAGAGTTTTAATGATCTCTGTTTAAAATAATATTGTTCTTTATTTTTGACAAAAAATAGATTATCATTATGGCAAAGTCAACGAATTGTAGTCGGCAATGCACTTGCAAATACATTGATGTTTTTTATTCAATTAGCTGCATTTGGTTATGGTGCTCGTTTAGTAATCGATCGAGAAATGACTTACATTGGAGTATTTCAGTATGTTCATTCTTACATTATCACTTTACTATTAAATTCCATCATTTAGAGTTTTTGCTGTGATTACATATGCTACAATAGCATTTGGCCGGAGTGCAAGTATGGTACCAAATTATAGTCGAGCAAAAGAAGCATCGATTAGAATTATGAATTTAAATGCTCGTCAATCACGTATTGATCCAGATAATGAAAATGAAGGAGAAATTTTAGTATGTTTTATTTTTCATTTAAAAACTAAGAATTTTAAATTTACAAACTTTATGCAGAAATATTAAAATTGATTAGAACTATTTGCGATATTCATAAACCGAATAAACCTTATGACAATGATTTTTTTTATTCTACAATTATTTATTACAGTTTACACTTAAAATAGATGTTTTCTTTTTTATTGTTAATGTTTCTTTAGTTATTAGCCCTCAGACAGTATTTTAAGCTTTAGCTGAATCTTTGTAACGCTTGTATTCATATTTTTTATGTCAGCAGAATTTCTTTTTTCGAGCGATTTCTTTTCAATTCATCAGTCTCTAACAACTAGAAAAACAACCACTCGAAAAAAGTCTTCTATGAAAGCAGCAAGAATTCAAACAAACTAGTGTGTGGACCCACGCGAATTCAAAAAAAACCATTCGAGGGTTAAAAAACAACAACTATCTGTTTCCTTACTTTTTTCTAAAAATTGTAACAACAATTATTTTTTTCATAAGATGACTGTCGACAATGAATCATTTCTGTTTCTATCAGAGACACCTAAATATAACAAAATTTGATTTTCTCTCTTTGAAACTTGAACGAAAGTATTTAACATATTGATATTGATGATATTCTCCAATATTTTTGTAAGATAGACTGATGTTAAATTTCTTCTCAGAAGTTACACTTAACAATGTTTGTTTTTAAGTACAAAAGAAAAGTTTCTCTAAAGCTGACTATTATTAATATTTTGCAGGAAAGAGTACGTGGGGTGCTCGAATTTCGTGATGTTTCTCTCAAATATCCATCGCGCAAGGAATCACGTGTATTAAGACATTTATCTTTTACATGTAACAAAGGTGAAGCAACAGGAATAGTTGGTCCGAGTGGATCGGGTAAATCAACGTGTATTGCCTTATTGGAACGTTTTTACGATCCACAACGAGGTAAAGTGTTACTAGATGGACATGATTTACGCACGATCAATGTTAAATGGCTTCGTTCAATAATTGGTCTTGTACAACAAGAACCTGTTCTTTTTAATATTTCAGTTCGTGATAATATTGCCTATGGAGATACAACACGGAAGTTTACGGATGCTGAAATTTATGAAGCGGCTCGACAAGCTGATATTCATGATACTATTATCGGATTAGCACAGGTTAGTCTCAGTTTTTAAAAGAATACAAACAGTAAACTACAGTGATTAAATAAATAAATTTCCATTCTCCGCTGTAATATACAGATTATTGATTATCTTCGAACTTCAGTATCATATTTTCTCGCTGTTAGTATATAAAATCATATTTAAAAGAAAATATATATCATATGTATGTAATTTTTGATGAGACTTGATTAGTATTCATATTGAAATCTAGTATTCAATGAATTTTATGGATAATAATATCATTAATATCTTCTATAAAATGTAAAATGAGAAAAACAACGTAGTGATTGAAGATTTTTGTTTGAAAATAGCATAGAATTATTTTTCTTGATATTTAGGGATATGATACAATGTGTGGATCTAGCGGTCAAGTTCAGTTGGCTGGTGGTCAAAAACAACGAATTGCTATTGCACGATTACTCATTCGTAATCCGAAAATAGTTCTTTTTGATGAAGCAACTTCTGCACTTAATGCTGCAGTTGAAGAGGTATGCTTGCCACTATTTAATATATAAAAAAAGAATGACTTTAACTGCGATTTTTTCAAATATTGTTTAGAGAATCATGCGTACATTTAATCGAACACGAGCAGATCGAACTTGTATCATGGTAGCTCATCGTCTATCGACTATCAGAGATTGTGAGAAAATAGTTGTCTTAGTTCGTGGACGAGTCGACGAAGAAGGAACTGACGAACAACTGGCCACTAATCCACATGGAACATATTCACAACTGCTTAGAGCAGCTGGACTTTACACAACGACAAGAAATACGGATGATATTGAAACTGAATCCTTTTAATTCTTTTTTTAAATTTTTGTACAGCATCATTGTGGTTCACCAGATTTTTGTAACTATTTGTACAAATACAATTTATTTTTATTTTTTCTCATTTTATTTTATCGAACGAACTATAAAACATTTTATATAATAAATCCTACCGAAAATTATATCAGTATTATATTGTTGATCAACTTACAGTAACATTAAATGTTTCAATCCGCAGCTTCTCAAAAGAAACACTTTTTCGAATAATATATAACTACTACATAATTTAAGCAGCGCTTGCTTCATAGCAACTATTCGTTTATTTCGCTTCATTATTTGCTTAGCTATAGAAATCTAGCGCTATTTAAATATTTTCGTAGCTATTTAAAAACTTATAACTATTCAAAGAGTATTTGCAGTTATTAAATGACTTAACTAACTGGTTCATTTCCAGTAAAAGTTGGATGTGGGTGTGGGTATGTGTGTTCCTTTTGTCTTTAATCATATCCACCCACACGCACACCCACACACCCACCCCACCCACATCCACACTCCACACCCCGCTTATATACTCGTTCATCGAAGAAAGAGAAAGGAGTCAAAATACTGAAAAAAAACAAATAACCGATGCGACTTTTTTCACTTTTCAGTATTTTAACCCTAGCGCCGTTATTTATTGATGAAAAGAGAAATTTTTTTTAATCAAAATGATCAGCGAAAAAAGCCCCACAAACTCTAATACCTTAAAACATTTTCTGAGATCTTTGTGTTTTTATGGTATATTTCCCATGGAAGTACCTATATATAATTATTGAAAAGAAAAAATGAATCATTTGTTAAAAGAAATTAAAAAGCATGAACAACTTCTTTTACAACATTTACAAAATGAATATACACGTATAAGTCAAGATTATTCCTCATGTTTCGAAAAATTTCAAGAATGTTTACAAAAATTATTTGATAATTATATTCAGTTAAAAGAAACAATTAAACAACAACGTAAACATGTAGAATTATTAAAAAATGTTTATCTATATTATTATGATTTAAGTGAAGCCATTTACACGTGAACAATAAACTATTGAAAATTATAGTGATACATTACAAGAATTCGGTGAAAAAGCTGAACATTTAATTCAAGATTTTGATCAATCATGTTAATCACGAGATTTAATTAATGAATATTATGATTTAAATAATAAACGGTAAACAGAATCAGATAAATTGTATACTAGTATGAAAGATTTATCAATTAAAAGACGACAACATTTATATAAAACATTAAAACTTTTTCGTCTTCATAAAGAAATTGATAATCTTGAACAATAAATATCTGATAGCAAATTAATTATTGGTTCAAAATGAACTTGGACAAGATTTTGAATATCTACCAAAGTTACTCTATCTTTTTGCAGCATTCCAACAAGAAACACAATAGATTGATAATGTACGTTTACAACATGCTAACAAAATAATTGATCTTTTAATTGTCAATGGACATGCTAATTCAGCACACATTGCAAAATTAAAAGATATATTAAATGAATATTATCTATATTTATTAGAAACTATTGAAACACGTTTACAATCATTAATAACATCATGGGTATTACAAAAATTTTTATATGATTGTAAAGAAATTTTATTAATTATCTATGAAAGAACATAAAAATTTTTATACTAGATGAAATTGGTCATGATCAACAGAGTGTACAAAAATTACTATGTAAACATCAACAATTTGAAACTGAATTGGTTTTATTAGTACGAGATATTCAACGTATACAACAAGATGTTAAACGTTTAAATGGATATTATGCTGGAGCAGAAGAAACAGAAATCAAACAAAAAGAAATTGATGTTTTAACACAATGGAAATTATTACCACAATTAGTCGATCAACGTTAACGTTTACTCAATACCTATAATAATTTACATCGGTATTTTTTACTATGACACCCAAACCACATCCACACTCCGGTGTGGTTCAGTTGGAAACCTTCCCTCGTAAGAGTAAAAAACCATTTTCATATTGCAGAACTTTAAAAAAGTTCATGGCACGGCTACCAAACCATCGTAGTTCTTTAATACACCGATTTTTTTTTAGAGTGTACACGGAAAACGTAAAAGCTTTCATTCTAAAAGATGTCTTTTATTGCATGGAGGAGTTGAGTTCAATAACGAAATGCATATATGATTGAGGAGAAACGATAGCAAATAATCGGCAGTCCACTGCATAGTCTATGACATGCGACAGTCAACCACGGTTTTTCTTTTGAAATTTTTCAACTATTGATAGCAGGCACATCTTGTTTTAAATCGCCTTTAGCATCAATGAATAATATTTGAAATAGGATGAAAAGTGAGTATCGATCAAGACTGGAAGAACAACTGTTTAACGTATTGATTGTTTCATCATCTAGTTGTAACTCTTTGGTATCTAATTTTAATCGTTGATAAAATTGTCCTAATGTATCTGGTTGTCTAATACCCAATATTCGTAGAGTAACAGCCAAATCCGAAAAAAAATTGAAATCATCAATGTAACCACCACAAATTGTTACTATTGTTTCAATTTTCGATATAATTGTATTGCGATATATAACTGGAGCATATGATATAATATTCATTTTTTTCATTGGCAGAGATGCATCGTGGATGTGTGAATATCTAATATGAGGGAAACGAAGCAGTTTATTGTTCATAAGCATCAGACGATAACAATTGAATTTCATCAATTTAATCTGTAACAATAACCACCCGAAAATACTTTTGTTTACTCAAAAAAAAAAACAGGACCGTCTTTTTATTGTGTAATATTTGAAAAACTTGTGAAAGAACGATTAAAAACATTTTCTTATTAGCCCGTTAGACTATGGATCAATGTTTGACTTCAGACCATCTCTCATAATAGATTGACTACCTTCTCTGTGAAAAAATTCAACATTTTTTATCTTTGAAAAAACGCTTCTTTTTGTACACTTATTTGTTTTCGATATTTATGTTCTATAAAAAGACCGAACGAATGTTTTTTTTGTATTCAGCATGTAAAACTAGTTCTAGAAACATCAATTTGAGAGTGCTAGAATATAGTATAGTCAGAACATTTTTGCACCTATGTCGAACCTTGAAAAAGTGCCTAGAGCACATAGCAAAAGTTTTCTCGGCTTAAAATCACATGAGAATCCGATTTTTCCAAAAAATATCTCTGAAGACCACCTGAAAAACCTTCGAAAATATTCGCATTGGATTCTCCATCGGTTTTCATCTCTAAGCCCGAGTTTAAAGAACAGTTGTCTGTAGTGAAAAATGATCGCACCATTTAGTATCCATACTCAGAAAAACAATGGTTCTGAGCAACTAAGCAGAATATAAAAATGGATACACAAACTTTTTCCTCATCTTACAACGTGGAAAATAAAAAAAAACCGACTAAAAATCAAGCAGAATGGATTCTGTTAATCACACACGAGAATAGAACATTTATCTTGATCACGATGTTAAGCACAAAATATTTGATGACCATAAAGATAGAGTGATAAGAAAAGCATTGAAACAGTTTACCTGCCAAAAATGACCTTGTCTACATTAGAAAAGTTAATACTGAATTAAAAAATATGATTTGTTGAAAAGTTAATTCAGATTTAATGTACTTTTTCAGAGACGAATTAAATTTAATGCACCAATCGAGGAAGACTGCGATTTACTAATCAAAATGATGAACGTGTCGATAGATAGATATTCTCGATACATCGTTTCTTTTGTGAACATATGCTAGAATTATGCACTTCAACTACATTATAGTAGACATTTCTCAGTTCTGATTGATGCATTAAATTCATGAGTATAGGCGCATGTAGCTTCAATTCGAAATCAATGCCGAATTACTTTTCTAGTATAGACAAAACCAATGGTCGCTGTCGATAAGATGTTTTTTCTTTCTTACTGTTGGTTGAATCAAAACTCATACAATGTCTTTATAGATCAATAGATGTCACACGATTCCCAACACAGTCTTTGAGCAAGATATCCATCTCATCACTTTTATATAGATACTACCGGTTTTCGGCGCTGTAGGTAATACCACCGGTTACGTTATTTATTGACGATTTCTAGATACTGAACTTCAAAATATAGTTTCACATAACTTTCATATGTTTCCATTTATAAACAAGCTATCATTAACATTTCATCCATGCTCTTAATTTAGTACGTATGTAACTTTTTTTCAATTATTTTCTATTCTGATGTCTGAACTGGCAAAGTGAAAATGAACAATTACCACGCTTCATTTATAAGTCCCTAGTATCATGAAACGCGACTGCTATTCCATTCTACTTTTATAATTAAGAATAAATTATAATTCTATTTTATTTTATCCTATTTTAATTTATTTTGTTTTTTTTTTCTAAATATCAATAATTATTTGTAGCATCAAAGTTCAATAAGTTTATTTACAAATGAAAAATTTCATTGCATTTAGAATTTATACATATCTTGTGAATGTCTATGGTTTTGATAATAAATTAATTTCGTAATTAAAATGAATAAATGATTGAATATTATATGTAAATATATCGAAATTTTAGCATATAATTAATAATATTTATATTCATTTCATTACCATCAATAAATGTTTCTCTTCTACAAACAAGAAGATGTAAATAAAGTTGTTCTAAATTTGACATTCAATGATAAGATTTGATTCTTGAACGTGTGAGTGAAACAGAAGGAAAAGATTTTAAAAAATATAGTAAGAAGAATATGTAATGAAATTATATATACATTTCCTTACATCTTAATATGCACACTTAATTCTTTTTTTTTTAATAATGCGATAGTTTACATATATGACAACCATTAATCCTTATTTTATTCTATGGTTTTTCTTTCTGGAAATTTTTTAAAAATTTAATTTATCTATTATTGGAAGAACCGAAACAAACTTACCAGTAAAAAGATGTGTAGGTGTTTCTTCATTTATATTATATAGATCAAGTCTACTTAAATCAGGATAATTTGTAGTGAGAAGAATACGTTTCATTGAAGACGATTCAACGTCAAGCCACTGTGATTTTATGATGAAGTTTAGGTAAGATATGCAAACAAAATTGATGAAGTATTGAATCAAGTAATGGATATGTAAACCATTTAATAAAGATATTATCAAAGCCAAAAGATTCATAAAAATAGAATCATGTATAATTTGATTTAATCGTTTATTAGTATCTATTAAAGAATAGAGTACTTTTGTATTTGTGAATATTTTAAAAATCACGAAAAGAATTTCATCAGGTAAATCATTTAATTGAATAAGTAAATGTTCCATGTTATTCTCATAAATGAAATGTTTTGATTTATGAACATCGATATTTATATAGATACATTCATTCGTCTAGTTAGTAAATATTGTCAGTGAAAAAAAATGAGACGTTTATTTTAAAAAAGACAAATTGACAATCAGTGGCTTCATAATAACTCATAGACTAATATGTTCTCGTTCTCTTTTTACGCAACATAATGGCTAAGAAATTTGGAGAGTATCTTTATTCTTAATATTATGGTTTATATGATTACAAATCAACGGCTTCATTGATACAATATTGAAAATTATTCTGTTTTAAAAAGACCTCGCGCGTTAAGGGGACCCCCTTTCCGAGGTTTCTCAAGAACCGCTGGGTGAAACTTTCTGGGTAGATAGATCTCGATGAGTAGAGCAAAAGTTGTCATAGACTCAGATTTCGAAAATGCTTCCTTACAAGAGATATTTGCGACCCAAGAGCGAAAAATGACCTGAAGTTCCCCCCCCCCCCCCCGCAAACTCTTATACTTCATTGTTTAGGGCTGAAATTTTTTTGCAGAAACTAGAAACAAATTGGGGTGTGTCTTTTTTTTCTTTGGAAAATATCGTTCCTGAGGGTCAGGAGAACTAAATTACTGACGGCGCTATCAAAAAATGCGTTGTTTTTCGTTTTTTTCTTATAATATCAATTTTGTGGCCTCTAGTAAAATTCCTTAGGAAGAATATTTTCGAGAGAAAAAAAAAGGACACACCCCAATTTGTTCAAAGTATTCACAGTAAAAATTTGAGCTCGATTAGTTGAAGTGCGAGGAGAGAAAAGGGGAGAAAACTTTATTTTTTGCTGAAAAAATTGATTTTGAGAAAAACGCAAAGAAATTTGTGTTTTTTTTGGTTTTTTCAGCATATTTTGTGATTTTTTTCGAGTTTTTTTATATATAAGATGTGGGTTTTTAGTTCTCAAAGTGTGTTCAATGGATGGAGGGCATTTAAATCTAGATACTAATCATAAAAAATGAAAAACGAAAAATGTGAAAATTTTGAGTCGGGAAAGGGGGGGGTCCCCTTAAGGTGCCAATTTTATGTCATAATTTTGTAGCTTGAACCCAATGACATATTTAGAAATATCATTTTTTTTCAAATGTACTTTTAGTTACATAGATAAGCAAAAACCTTTATCACTACATGGCAAGGGCCAATTGGAACTCTGAACCGCAATTTTCTCTGTCATAGAGAAAGGTTTGAAAATTCTGATTTCATATTTAGAAACAGTATTATAGACCTTCCGATTCTGCATAAACACTATTTTTTCAAAGTTAGTAGAGATCGAGTAAAGATTGACATTCGGTCACTAAAGATATATAGTGTATATATATATATGAAAACTTGCCGTGACATTATCTCGTCAATAAACATTAATATATCGTCGAAACTTTCTCAAAAATTTGCTTATATATTGAGCTTTCTTTTGATACCATTACGATTCTAAATTTTTTAGTCCGAAATCCTCTTTTATACTTAAATATTCTCAAATGTCACCATAGTGTATACAAATCCTGCTCATATTTGGCAATTTTAATCGGCAGCAATTCATTTTCAAACAAAATACACGTGATATTCGGAATCAACATCAAAATCTGAGTAGAATGACATATGTTTTATCAAAAGCTATTTTTCGTCCAAATTACATCCGTACTTCCTTCAGCAGTTGTTTCCAAAAAGTTCGTCTGTGAACCCCAAGATGTAGTGTGGACGAAGGCTGTAGGCATGGATGTGTGTGTGGAGTGTAGGCGTTGATCAAGTGAAGACTCAAATCCACACCCACACCCTATAACATTTCTGTGTATTGAAACATCAACTATATGATTATTAATATCAAAATACTAAAAATTTTTCATTAATAAAAGAATTTTATTGATGCAATTATATACTTGGACATCTGTTAAAATAGATAAATCGATCTGAATCTATTGATAGATAAATGAGGAGATTGGCCCGGTCGCAACGCTTCTAGTAGATGTAATGTGATCCGATGAACTACAACTGAGCAAACAAATAACACGTCATCGATATATGCATGTGTCAATAACCACAAACGAATAGAATAAACAAAAACGAAAAGAAGATATCAGCACTAAAGCCTAAGGGTGATACTGACGAAGTCCTTTGACAGCTTTAGAAACTTATTGAGAATCTAGGAGCTTTTAAAGAATTCAAAAGAATCTCATGGAATCCGAAAGAATCACAGAAAATCTTTTGAATCCAGAGGAATTCAGGATTCCATTTTTTCCTCCTTGGCTCAGTATCACTTCACTTTTAAAACTATTGTTAAGTCTCTGAAAGACTGAAAACAGAAAGGCTATCATTTATTACGCTCATCTGTTATAAGAACTCTAGACGATAAGGAACTCCGTTGACAGAATATACCAATGGACAATCAAGAGAAGTACGAGAAAAAATCACATGGGAATTCATGCAGCTGATCAAGATTTGCACTGATAATGACCGATATATTGCACGTTCGATAAAAAACTAAGTCTTTTTTACGTTATAAATTCTCATAATATTTTCCAGATTATCAAGATAATATATGATTCGTTTATCTTCATTACTTAATCTTAATCGTCTATTTCAATTATCATCGATTCTTATTTTTAAACAGTTATTTACATCAGAAGCATCTACAATAACAACAGATAAACAAGGAAAAATTCTTATTAATTTAGCTGGTGATGTTATGATCGGTTAGACTTCTTCCTACTTCTGTTCATAATCCAGAAGAAGCAAAAATTATTCATTATTTTCGATCATCTTTAAGTTCACGTTATCCTTAGGGTGTGGGATATCATTGCGGAGTGTAAGTGTGATGTTAGAATAATCTTAACAGACCAACACACACAATAATCGCTCCGCGCCCCAAAGACCAATGTTTAAAAAAATTATAACAAAAGATAGAGTCTGATCTGAGGAATCTCATGGTGTGATTTGTTTATCGACAAAAAAAGATTTTTCTGATGAAAAAAAGTTTTTTCCTGAGTACTACCGTCCAATTCCTTGTAATGATCGAATTAGGACGAAAAACTAGTTAGAGTGATCAGATTAAGACAGTAACAGAATAGACAAAAATTTCAACTATGTATTTTTGTAACCATGATTACTCATCGATAAGAAAAATTGACCAAAAGGTAGAGCGTCGATCACTCTATCCCAGAAAATAAAACTGAACGCAAACAAATGTCGTCGAAAAAAGTTGAGTTATTTTCTAAAAGTATTACAAGTGGTGATCGAATTAGGTCCAGCTGCCCAATATGATATATTTCCAGTTCTTTTTAACAGAATATTCAGGAGGAGAATCGATTGAGTTTGATTTGAAAAGTATTATTGGACCAAAATCACTTCTGATTCGCACTATGCTGTAATTTATCTTCACGATGAATCCATCTTGATAATTAATAGAAACTATAAAAATTAGATATTCTGATAAGATGATAACTAGAATAGGTGAAATGGGATTCAGATGAAAATGATATCAAAATGTTGCTAAAAACAAGAAAATTCAAATAGCAATGTGAAATTACTATAAAATAATGCTTTAAATTTACTTTCGTTTTATTAATACGTTAGTGGATTTCTTCCTGTAGTGGTCATTGCATGTATGTTCTTCAAAAAAATGCACTAGAAGACATTACTCTATCATCGTTGCATACAGTTATTTTTATGCGATTTCTCTGTTTCTACAATTGTTATAGGACTAGCTTATCCCGCGTTTTGACATCATTTATGTGAAGTAGATATTGCTTCTAAAGATTTATTTTCTTCTTCCAAGAAGGAGAGGCGAGAAGGATCGTTTGCTCCTTCAAATCCTTTCCATTCTCTCAAGTGCAAAAAGCAAATAGATGTAAAGTAACGAACACATGTCTCTCATACACACACACACTACAGTAAAGAAGAAAAATAAAGACATAGCTACACACTCTTGTTGACAACAAACAATACACTCGATTCATTCGTCTTCGTTATACAAAGTCGGGTTTGATGCACACTGTAGAACCACACATGTTGTGACAACATTTATTTTCACCCGAGCAATCATGGTCGACATCACACATGTGTCCGTCACAAAGACCCCACATAGGATTATCCTTTACGGAGGTATTTGATGGACACAGGCCTGATTTTTTCACATTATCTTTCGGTACAATACAATGATGGCCGCATGGTTCTCCTATACGAAAGCAACATTTTGTGCCATCTTTACATTCATCCTTGTCGGGTGAACATGTTGATTCGCACTTTTCCGGTATCCTTACAAATCCATAGCCAGGGCACACCTTGTCAGCAGCAGCGGCGAAACCGATAATAACCAATAGTGAAACAAGTAGTGGGATGGAAGTCATCGTGCAAATACAACAAGTTTGAAATGATTAAAGACTGATAAAAAGAAAACGATGCACGCTGTTTTTATAATCGATTTACCATTAAAAAAAACAGCAGAACAGCAGGTGAGAGAAAAAGAAAAAAAAAGAAAGATACGAGTAAATACGCAACAGATGGACATTATTCTCACACTGGAAAAATAAAGTCAAACAATCAAGGTTTAAATGTTGATCAAAGTGCAACATATAAAAAACCACTTAGTGAAAAATATTTATCAAAAAAAAAAACGGCAAAGAACGCGTTCATGAAAACATGAAAAGTTGTCTTTTATGTGAAGAACGTGCTCCACAGTTTAGTGAACGAGTTCGTAAACGAAAAGAAACATGTTGAGTCTAAAGGAATCCATTCTTTGCTGTTCCGGATTATTACAGAGTACTTTCTTTTCAGTTCAAAAGTCCTCTCTATCTAGATAGAAAGCGTTCTGAACCGTTCTATAAACCAATAGAATGAGTTTCTATCCATTTTTTTTGAAACGATCAGGATAGAGTTCTATCCCAATGGGTTTACTTTCTTTTACGTTCTCCAGGGAAACACCTGAGAATGGTTTCTTTGAACAGATGAACGCATTTCAGACATTCTAACATCATTCGTAGAAAAAAAAGAATGTATTCTCCAGCGTTCCTCTAAATTGTTGAACACTTCATGTGGATTCAACGTCAATTTTGATTCAAAATTGATAGCTCTGCGGCACAACACAATGAAAGTGATCCCAAAAATGGTGGAACATCGATGAGTTGTATCCCACAACTGGCAGCCCTGATTTTTAAAAAACAAAATATTTCGAATAATAGTTTGAGCTACGAAAAATCGGAGCACACCCTTGGATAGAGCTCGTCGAGTTGTACTAGAACAGACTTCTCGACGAATCAGGTGTTAACTTCACTTACTTCTCTTCGACGATTCTTGTAGGGAATGTGAATCTAGATGATAATGACCAAGGACACGTTTCAAAAAAACATTTAGCTTTTTTTTAAGAAAAGAAAATGTTCCAGAAAAATTGAAATGCGTTCCAAAATGAAATGGCCAAGAACGCATTCCATATTTATAGCAAACGTTATTTTTTCTTAAAAAAGTTTTCAACGAAAGTGGAATGCGTTCTTTGTCGTTTTTTTTGATAAATATTTTTCAATGAGCCATTTTTACCATTTATTAACATCTCAACAATCTTTCCAAAAAACTTTAATGCAAGATTAATCCACGTGCTCACAAACTTCAAGTACTCGTTTTAAAAGTTTTGGGATAGAGCTTATGAAAATAGAAAATCCTTTAAGGATTTACTATACTTTGCATCTGCATCAACTCGTCAAAAGGATTCATCATTTGCACATAGTCATTCGAAAAACTTGAAAATTCTTTTTGTACACTCTAAAAAGAAAGTGAGGGTGAAAACATTCATCCATCCATCATCTGAAGAAAGAAGAAAATTACTCTGCGTAATTTTGTTTATATATACGTCGTATGGAAGTTACACCGGTCGACGAAGTTATAACTTCGACAGAGAAAATTGAAGAAGTTGCCACTTCGATTAAAGAAATTTATCGAAGCTACTTCAGTTCAACTAAATACAGAATAAATATTAATTAGTTGATGATATTAAAAACAATCTGTTAAATTCTAATTCATTTTTCATTTTAAAAATATTTTGTCGTTTTTTTACGAATAAACATGGAAGAAATTATTCAGAAAAATCAAGCATTACTTTTTCTATAATAATTTATACAATTATGAATCTACTTTCATAGCACCTAGGTATTTAACTAATAAAAGAAATCTCTAGAATGCTAGATGTGATTTAAGCAGCATACAGCCGTTGAATTAGAAAGGCTCTTACAATATATTTTAGTCCGAGATGTTTTCATTATTTATTTTGAATCTTCATTTTAATTTTAGCATAAAAGGGCATGACTAAAGATGAAAATGAATGAAGCGCCTAGCTGGAAGAAAAAATGAAGAGAATATTGCGACGAAAAAACTAGCTCGGGATACAGCAATCATACCTCAAATTTTGGTTTTCCTCTACTATGGTGAAAATATGCAATATGCTCCAAAACAGATCAGAGTGTATCAATATAAATAGCAAGTTTGAAAATATAACTCTGTATAACATCTCAGCGATTGGGTTGCTAGATCACAAGTTGGTCTTACTGCTTTATCTACCAATTTTTGTATGATGTTTGTTCGATACGTTCTTCCTTGATATTAGTGCCACTGATAGGATTTATATTGAATTTATACACAGATAATGCTGACACCTGGTATTAAAAAATCCAGTCTAATAAAGTCTTTATTTGACTTAATGTGAGTCTGATTCTGCTAAGCATTTAACTTCATCTTATACGAAGTATTTTTTGTCATTACTATAAAGTATTGTTTAAATCAGAAATAGTATTCTAAACGTCTCTATCGTCAGTTACAAACCTAGGTGCTATAAAAGTAGATTCATAATTGTATAAACTATTATAAAAAAAATCAAGCAGGGTGTGGAGCGTGGGTATTGGTATGGGAGGGTGTGGGTGTGAAGTGCGGGTATGCGTGTTGGTGGGTTTTGTTCTTCTCTTCTTGTACATCAACGTCCACACACCCACACTCCACACCCACACCCACACCTGGTTACAATGCTTTCATACTTACTGTTATGAATGTGATGTTTGAAGAAATTGAAATGATTGCTGCACTTGCTGATAAAACCAGAGTAAAACTAAAATAAAAGAAATTTATTTATTTAAATAGCTTTGATAGTATTGGTTTTAGAATAATCTTTTTCAAATACGCCTAACAATGGTGGCGAAAAAAGAAACTGATATAGCTGACACTTGCAATAGCTAAATTCTATCTCTGTTTCACAAACAAAACAAGTCATTGGTTCTTCTTATTATTTTTTTTTAAATATTCTAATATATTTTTATTTGTACTTCTTTTACTGACGTTTATTGCGAACTACAGTCGAGGACAAAAATTTAAATGATATTTGTTTTTCAGTATTTTATTTTCATATTATGAGATAGAATTTTGCTTCAAATGGTAATATAGATGATGTAAGAAGCCAACTACATGATGCATTACAGAATGAGACTTCATCTGTCTACACAGATTTTTCATAATTGAAATAGTTTTTTTCTGTGCAAAAAATTATTTTAATCATAAAAAGCTTGTATAGACAGATGAAGTCTCGTTCTATAATACATCATGTATTTGGCTTCTTACATTACCTATATCACCATTTGAATCAAACCCTTACCTCATAATATGGAAGCCAAATACTGAAAAACTAATGTCACTTAGGCTTATGTACCCGACTGAGTGTATTTACCTGTTTTTCAGAGAAAAAGAACGAGTTGAAATAGGCTAAAAGAAATCGAGAATTTCTTCCCAAAGAACGAGAAAAAAAAATACTAGAAAGTTATAATAAGCACTCATGTCAGCCTAGCCGTGAGTGTGGGTGTGTAGGTGTGGCTGTGGGTATGGGATGTAAGTATGGATGTTAGTAATCCCTTTCGTCGCACCCACACCCACACTCATACTCGCACCCACACCCCACACCCACACCCTCGGCATACAAAAGATAATGTTGTTAAAATTTTCCTAGATTAATAATTCGCACGCTAATCACGTCAATGCATCTTTGAAATTTCATAAAAGATAAAAACTAATCGAAGTTGAACGTTTCAATCGTAGCTTTTGGCCATAAATTCCATGTAGATATTTTTTTTATATTTCCTTTTTCGCTAAAAAATTATGAAAAATTAATTATATCTCCAAACGAAATCACAACTCTAAAAATTGTCCATATGATAAAGTATTGTGTTTGGAAAAATAATTATGAATAATTTACACAAGATTAAAGAAACTCTACCCCTTAGATTTTAAATATGTTTTTATTAGAAAAACCGTTTTTAAATCACTATATCTCATTTGTTCAATTTTTTAACTTTCACAACAACAAAGAAATGATACCATTTATTATCTTTTTCATTTGGTTATAAATAAGTCTAATTTTATTCAACTCGTGATAAATTTTGACAGATGACTTTTCGTACAGCGTCATATATATATACATATACTTGATCTTTTATATCTAATTACTCATGGTATGATTTCAATCGTATCATACTGAAATCAGTAAGATCAAACAATTTATTCTCTTTCTCGTAGAGAAGAGTCTAGCAGACATAAATTGTCTGATTGCTTGCTTGCTTGTATGTCCGCACTTCAGTGATTTGTCTCACAGTAATGTGAAAACAAAAAGGATTATTTTCCATAAAACTTGACCAAAGGTAATCTAGGGTGAGGAGTTCAAATCTGAGGTCAGTTTTAATGAATTAATTATTAATTACTAATTAACTGATTATTAATTATTCATATTTTCCATAAACTTGACCAAAGGTAATTGCGCGTGGGGAATCCAAATCCGAGGTCAGATTTAATTAATTAGTTATTAACTGGTTATTAATTATTATTGTTGTCCAAAAAACTTGACCAAAGGTAATGGAAGGCGGAGAATTCGGACCCGAGGTCAGTCTCATTTTTCTTTTTCGCTACTGTTTTTAGTAAAGTTTTTGTCTAGAAAATTGATCAAAGGCTATTGTAGTTAAAAAACTGGAACCTGTAATTATTTTCTGTTAACGCTATAGCAAGAATAACAAGTAGTAAGATTTACGAAATATTTCTAATGAGAGAAAGTCTCTAGGACTAAGATATTGGCAATAGTTGAATGTGTAAATAGGTATCATGCATAGAAATAGATGGTTCCGGGTGCTAGGACGTAATAATTGGTAGTTGTCATTTCCAAGAGAAACTTCCAGTGAAAACCATCTACCTGACAACAACGCTGGGCGTGGGTGGGTGTGGGTGTAGATGTAGATGTTCCCATTATCCACACAAACACACATACCCTAGTTTGCTGAGAGATCAGAAACAGCATTTCTACGAGAAAGAGCTGAGCGAGTCCGCAGACGAGCGTTACTTGTGCATTTTTTTCCCTCGAATAAGAATACATACGAGTGTATCCATGCAATCACTGTTATTTAACGCCCTCTTTCTAATTTATAGAGACTGTATACATCCTTTTAATGCAATGGTAAAAAAAATTGTATGTAGATTATCGCGATCGAATCAATCAAAAAAAAATTGATAAAAATAAAAGTGAATAATTAATGAAAGCATTTGAATTATTTACCAATATAGTAATCGATTATATTGTATCTTATTTCGATAATGATAGTGGGTTACTTGAAAAGTTATCATTTT